ACTGTTCTTTTGAATGCATTGTTTGAAATTTCATCTGCTTTACAAGTTCTTTTTTGTTGAATTGTTTACTTTTTTATGGACATGTTGCCTGGTTTTTCCATATTACTTGTGTCTCTACACTGGAATTTCCAAATCTGAGGCCACATTGGTTGGAAGTTTTAATTACCTGTAGTCTTTCAGTTGAAATAAGTCTCAATGTTCAGGGAGTGCAGTTTAGTAGCCAGGCTGAGGTGCTATTTCTGACCACTGGACTGCAGAGGGGAGCTATGACTTAGAAGTCAGGCATTTCCATGTGCTCAGCAATTGCTCAGATCGAGTTAAAGTAGCTAGAGCCTCTTGTAGAAGGATCAGTTGTTCAGTTCTGAGCTATGGTCACAATAGAAATGTCTCTTCTTTTGTGTAATGGGAGCTGTTGTTGGGTGCAGGTAGCTTTACAGCCTGTGGGTTCCCCCTTACTCCACACACATCACAGTTTCTGTCCCCAGGAACAGCCAGTCTCCAAACGTTGGAGTAACCCCCAAATGTATCAGAAAGTGGGAGGATTATCAGAGCACTTAGCTCTGCACTGGCTGGTGGAGAACTGAGGGACCTAGTCTCTCTGCTTGCTGGTCTTATAGATCCTGTCCAGCATTTCACTTCCCTGTAGTGAAAAGGAAGCTGTTGAATTTTGTGATTCTGAGGGTCTGGACTCTGGGCCCTCAGTCCTGAGTGTCAGCAGCACTGAGATCCCAGGTTGGGTCTCAGTGCTTTCAGGCCCTGCCTGACAATGAAGCTTTCTGTGGAGAGGAGGAGCAGAAAGGGGAGAAGGAGGCTGTGGGAATCTTGTAAATCAGAAGGTCTGGGCATTGGGCTCTAACCCTTCCAACATTCAACATATGCAGTCAGAAGGCAGACCCTGGAGACCCAATACTAAGCCAGCCACAGACTTGGTGCTTTGCTTCTGCCTGAGCCTCCGGCAATGGGACTCTCTTCTTTCAGGGAGGTCAGGGCCTGTGGGACCACATCAGACCTTTCTCTCTATCACCATCTCTTCTGGCCATCTCCCACCCAGACAGCATGGCAAGGTGTCCCAAGACTCCCTGAGCTGTAAGTGCTGCTTGTTTATTGGCCCCCAGTGTATCTCAGCCTCAAACAATAGGCCCTATCCCAAGATAGCACTTTGCTATAGCCCTCCAAGATAAGGAGAGTAACAGAATGTATTTCTTCACCAAGGATAGCATTCTACACTGGAGCACTGTCTCACCAAATCCCAGCACTGGGTTTAAGTACTGCATGAGGTGAAGGGTGGGCTCATCTTGCAGCTAGAATTGTCAACCTGATTCCAAGATGGGCTTACCTTGTGATGGTGTTATCAGTGCTCCCTTCTTTTCCTGGGGAGCCACGGATGGGCTTGGACCTAATTGTTGCTTTTCTCTGTTGCCTCAGTTTCTCCATACTTTTCTACTGTCTTTCCATCTCCTTTGTGTTTCTTTCTTTCTCTCTTCAGAATATAGTCACTTCTGACTGCATGTGTTGAATATAGTCTCTCTGACTCTTCTCATTCAGAGTCAAAACAATGGTTGCTTCCAATATGACATCTTGCCTTTCCTCCAGATGTTTTTGTAACAAGTTTTTCCATCTAATTGTTATATACTCATTATTTTAATATCTTAGTGGTTGCCCTAAAGAATACTTTGTGCACCTTAATCTCTTATTACAATCCAAAACAAGTTATTGCTTATATCAATTCTTGAAAATAATTTAACCTTAGAACATTTTTATTCTTATTCCCTCTTGCTTTTGGGCTTACTATGGTCACATATTTTAGCTGTACATATTTAAGTCCTACAAAGTATTCTATATATTTTACAGTCAATACTTATCTGTATGTTTTCCCTTCCATCTCTTAAAAAATTTTGGTGTATATTAATTGTACATAGTAAAGTGTTTCATTATTAAATGTCCATACATGCATACAATGTACTTCTATTGCTCTCTATTACCACTCCCCCTTTTGCCTTGCCCTTTCACCTCTCTAGTATTTCTCTCTCTATTTTTTGGTTTTGGTTTTGTTTTCCCCCTGACTTTCACAAATTAGAGAAAACATTTGTTATTTATTTTTGTGGGACTGGCTTTGTTCACTTAACATGATCTCCAGATCTACCCATCTTTCAGCAAATGACATAAATTCATTCTTCTTAATGTCTGAGTAAAACACTATTGTGCATGTGTGTATAAAATATTTTCTTTGTCTATTCATCTGTTGATGGGCACCTGGCTGATTCCGTAACTTGGCTGTTGTGAATAGTGTACTATGATAAACATGGATATACAAATATCTCTACAGCAAGCTGACTTTGATCCTTTCGAGTATATACCTAGAAGTGATATATACTATTTCATATGATCTACTATGATGGATGGATCATATGAGCTTTGTTTTGAATTTTTTTTATTTCCATAGTAGCTGATTAATTTACATTCCTAGCAGCAGTGAATATAGGTTCCTTCTGCTATCCCCCATATCCTCACCAGAATTTGTTGTTTGTTTTCTTGATGTTAGCCATTCTGACTGGAATGAGGTGGAATCTCACTGTAGTAGTTTTTTGCATTTTCTTTATAGTTAAGGATGTTGAAGACGTTTTCATGTTTTAGTGGCTATATATACTTCTTTGAGAAAAATCTTTTTACTTCATTTGCCTACTAATTGATTGGATTATTTGTTACTTTTGGTGTTTAATTTTTTGAGTTACTTATATATTCTGGATATTAATATCGTTTGATGAGTGTCTGGAAAGATTTTTCTCCCATTGTGTAGGGTATCTCTCCACTCTGTTGATTGGTATTGTGGTGAGCACAGCTGCATTCCATCTCTTTGCCTTGCTTCAAGAACATGTTTTTGTCTAGGATAATTTCCGACCACTTGAAAAATTCCCTTTAGTATTTCTTTTACTGTATGCCTATGAAAAATTTTCTCATGTATTGTTTCTCTAGAGGTGTTTTCAGTCTGAGCTGGCCATTGTTTGATTTTAGCATACCAATATGATATCCCTGGCTTTCGTGCAGTGAAATCTATTATTTACTTCCCCAGGTTCTCCAGCCATGATCCTTGCCCCTGGAATTTTTACGCACTAACAGTCAATATCCAAAGAATGGGTAATTTTGTATGTTAACTGACTCTCCCTGTGTTCTTGGCAGAAGCCTTTTTCTTGCTTTCAGCTACTCCATCAAAACCAAAAGTTTTCACTGTATTGTTAATTCTTTAAAATCTTTAAGGCAGTTTCTTTCAATTTCATTCAGGTGAGTTGTTCCTAATTACATGGCTTGCTTTTTCTGAATTAATATCTTTTTAAAGAATATTCAGGCAACACATTCAGCTAATTTGTAGACTGACCTATTCTTTGCCCATAATTTTTCAATTATTTAGAGATTCCTCAGAAATATAATGATTCAAAATGACAGTGAGAGCTTTGTGGATCTACAGAGGAAATGAGTTTTATTTCATACCAATAAAAGAACTATTTAAATACATGCAGTAGAAAGACGCCAGGAGAACAGTTCTGTCTCTCTGATCTTTTGGCCTAAAATTAAAACAAGCGTGCAGGATTGAATGTGTGAACAAAATAAATTCACAGTCTAAAAGGCCTTATTTAAAACAACCCTATCTTTGAAGGACTCACTTTCAATGCACTACTAACTCAAAGTGCAAAGCTATGCTTTATTCATAGACTATCTCAGGATCATTAAATATGCTAATAGTGAAATTATTTGTAATTCTCATAGACTCAGAACTATTTCATTTCAAAGAGCTATGTTTAACTACTTAAAAATAATTAGTGAGATACAAATACTTAAAAATTTTAGTTTATTTTAAATCGACAGTGAATAAAAATATAGATGCATTTAAGTAGGGATCTAAATTACCAGGCTCTACTTTAGTTGCTTATATTTCTAGGCCTCTCTTCATCCCCATCAGTGCTCTAGAATGGTATGCTTTATCACCATTATCAAAATAGTGACAAACCTGACATCTGGAAGTGCCTTATTTGCTAAATATGTATTGCATTTCCTAAGGTAGCTTTTAGTACATTTTATATGCCTAAATTAAAACAAAATGAGAAAAAATATAAAGCAAAATCTACCAAATAAAAATATAAAGAATATTTAGTGCTCTGTCACATGAAAAGGCTTTTAATCTAACTTAGTAGAAAGAGACGGAAAAAATAATCAGAGAAGACCTGATGAAAATGGTGCTAATTTAATGACATTTAAACCAGAAAAATTTTTAAGATTAAAAACTGGAGCTAGGTGCCAGTGGCTCATGCCTGAAACCCTAGAATTGTGGTTCGAAGCCAGCCAGAGGCAAATAGTTCACAAGCCCCAATCTCAAAAAAAAAAAAAAACAATACAAAACAAAACTGGTGCAGTGGCTGAAGTCGTATAGTGCCCGCCTGGCAAGTGTGAAGCTCAGAGTTCAAAACCCAGTACCATAAAAAAAGAAAAAAGATTAGAAGTTGCCCACTCAGCTCTTAGTAACAGAGATGCAAAAACTCTAAATCTATGCACTCAATCTAAGCCAACCACCTGAACTTTCCACAACAAAAGTGAAGATGGATGAATGACAGCTAGGATGAAGTCAGAGAAACAAGTGCGATAAAATGATCAAAGTACTTACTTTAAAAGGAAACACAAGTCACAAAGACAGCTAAACTAAACTCATCAATAACAGATTCTAAAAGGAATATCGTGTGGCTGTTTTTAGAGCAAATAAACTGTAAGTGCCTTATGACTATTCTCCCTGTTTCCTTCCAACAGCCCTAACAATGTTTCTAAATACTCTTTGCTGTAACATCAATACCAAGGTCAAAATTAAGCCCACATTTATTCTTTTACATCTTTAAAGTCTTTTCAAACATACCACTTCAAATAATCTTTGAAAAGTGACAGGCATGCACTTAGGCAAAATGAAAATACGTGAATTTTCATCAATATAAAACACAAGATCATAGTTCATTACATACCGCAGCATTCAGGACATTTTGGATGTTTGAGCTCATTCATTCCATACCCTGGAAAGCAACGATTAATCCAAACCATCTGGAGAGTGCCTTCAATATAGTATATTTCAGGTAACGGCTCTGCCCGTCTGCCAAGAACCTCTACTTGTTGATTAAAAAATCTCTCTATAAGATTTTTAGCCTAAAATAGAAAAGAATTTGAAAACAATTAGCTACAAACAAATGTAAATTTAGAACAATAAGGGAGAGACAAGGGAAAACATTTGCAGGCTATGAATGACATGTAAAAATAAAAGATGCCATCTCTATACCTCAGATATTTCCAAATGAGCTTGTACATGTGACAGAAAGAAACAATTTGGATATATAACAAATCATTTTGGTTCCTTTGGATTTTGAATAATACATGATAGACATCTAAGCAAAATCAAGACAGCACCTTTAAATTAAATGTATTCTATGAGATTAAGCTAACTTAAATGTATTTTAAGAAGTGCATCTTTAGGTACCCTCCTTTACTCTTTTCAGAAAGAAAAATTAGGTTTGAAAACAAGAGAAAATACAATCAATGTTACAACGACTAGTCCTGTGCTTAAAAATCATGTTTACAAAGTAATTTAGGCTGAACTGTCCAACTATCTTGTGACGAATATTCTTTCTGTGAAAACACTATAAATAATTACATAAAAATGTTTTTCAATATACTGCAATCTACATAAATATACAAGTCTTATTCTATTATTTGATTACTTAATGTTTTAGTTTAAATGGTGCTTCTGGAGAGCCTATTAAATTTCACTCAATCAAGCACAAATATTGGTTAAGAAAGTACTTAAGAAGTAGTTAGTTGCAAATACAATATGTTTATTTATATTTAAATGTAAAACTACAATTAAAAGTTCTAGGAGACACATTCATAATCACTCATCTTCCTAATATCCCATTCAAAAAAAATCCCCCATAACCAAAATATATAAAACCAAAAATTCAATGATCTAGACCTGAGAGAACACGGTAGACACAAAATCACACTACCATTTCCCATTTTCCCTGTAATAAGGAAAAGGAAGATCGATCTCTTATCTAATAAAAATTAAAAGGTAAGAAATATCAAACAACAAACTGAATTTTCTTATGCTGAGTATGTTGATTATAGACACATAGAGTTAATAATTTGTGCCAAAGGGTACAATGGAGGAATTCTGTAAGCTGGGTAAGGATTACAAAGACAAAGTAAAACTTTTTGAACCAATTTGGTGATATAATAAAAATCATAATTATAAAAACTAGTCATCTGGTTTTAGACAACAAATATGACTGAATAAATATCAGATATCCTAGTCTATTCCTCTTACCACCCAACCTCCAATAAAACTTTATAGAATAATTAAGAATATGGAAGGACTATGTTCTACAACAATTGGTCAATGGTTACAGAACTGGAAAAACAATCACTATTATTATTTCAACCGTTGCTATTTCAGTTTACAGATCTGTAAAAACATGAGCTTCTACATGGGGAAATTAACCAACTTATTTTCAATGCCATGATCTCCTCCACTGGCCAAGCCAAGATAGTAGTGAACAATATTAACTAGAAAGGGTGTAATTTTTTTTTCTTGGTTTAACCTAGAAAAACCCTTGCCTTACCTTTAACCTAGAAAAACCAGAAGGCAAGAGTTACCTAGAATATGGGTATTTCTCTTGGCAACAAACAGCATGCATCATACAGATCAGTGTCTAATTGGGGTTCTAATTTCAACAGGGGAGAACTAATGTATATCAGATGTTACAGATATTAATAACATAATACCTTTGGATAACACCTATATTTGAGAATCTCTATAGAAAAATGTCCATAGTCAAGTGAAGTTGGGATTAATACTTAAGAAAAAACAGAGAGGGAAGCTTAAAGGTTTCTTGAATAAATAGGAAAGAAGCATGAATTGTCATAGAGAAACTGGAGATACTGATGTTCGGGGGGTACAAAAGAGGAAGATATGTAGACACTTTCAAATTAAAACCCTAGAACAGGGGAAATGTGCTCACCTATCAGTGAATCAGGCAGAGATCTGTCCCACAGAATTAAATTTGAAAGCAGAACCAAAGCTATGGGAAAAATGGGAAGGGTCATATGACCCTTGAATAATTTGAATTCTATAAAAGCTGTAATCTACACCCAAGAAGTATGAGTTCTAGGACTTCAGAATAGAAAACTATCCTTTTACAATGTGTGGCTACTGTACTCCTGAAGTAGAAAGCACAAGAATCCACTCTTCCCTCAGAAGTACTAGCAAAGTGGTTCCATGAGAACTGAAACTTGCACTGAAAGAATTAGGCTCTTTGGAAGAAAGAATAAAGAAAAATTATGATTTACACTTAAAATTGTTGGAGATTTAAACTGGAATATTGATTTTTTAAAGTAGTATTTCTATTACTGAAAACAGCAGGCATATTTAAAAATGACAGGTGAAAACACAAGTTTAAAATATAGGAAAAGACATTCATTTCAAACTCTGTGGTGAAGTATGGATGCTTAGGAATCACCTAATTGAACACAACAGAACAATCTTGGTTTGGTGTATTTGTGAGCGAGGGAGAAAAAAGAAGGAAGGGAGGGAGGGAGAAAAGAAAGAAAGAAAGGGTAGAAGGAAGGGAAGGAGGGAGGGAGGGAGGGAGGGAACAAGAAAGAAAAGCAGATAAGGATTATAGATGAAGAGAAAACTACAAACCTAATGGTGGCTGTGTCCCTAATTCACTTGATGCCAATGTCAGTATTCCAAGGTGTTATAATTTACCAGCCTAAAGAGAAAAGGAGAAGAGCCTTAAACCTGCAACCATAGAGCAAGACTCTTAAGTAAAACAGTGGACCAAGAGAAATTTCAGTCACACAGGGGTAAAAACAAAAACGCTTTATCTGTCAAAGTGGCATGGGGGATGGAGAAGTGGGAGGAGAAGTGGGGAATGGAGGGAAATGGGGAACCAAAACACCTCTGTGAACTCCTACATAATGGTCTTTCTTCAAAGTAAGTTTGCAGTCCTCATAGTATTTTCTGGGCTGTATAAGAAATTCCAAGCCCAAAATTTGGCTTTGCTTGAGAAAAACCCTGGAGCATTAGGCTCTATGTCTAGGAAACATAGACATTTTTACAAACTCTATAGATACACTCTCACCCACCTTCTCATACTCTCACCCTTCTCTCTCACACTCATACCCACCTCTCTCACACCCATACCCACCTCTCTCTCACACAGTTTGACAAGAGGTAAGCATTCTAAGTGTGCTGTTAAATACTGTTAAGACACTGTTAGTGATAACATTTGTTGGAAGCCCTCTTCTACAAGCTTATTCTTCTCTTTAAATGACTAAGAGGTTGGGGCTGGGGAGACTTCCCCATGCCCCACTGCCTTGATAAAAGCATTACCAGCCAGACAGCTGCACAGTGTTCATGTCAGCACCCAAAGCACAACTCTGGCTCCCAAAGACAGTGGCCCAGATGGTAGCTTTCACCAGACTTTCTTACCACAGCAGCTATTTCACCCAGGCCAAAGAGGGAGCGATTCCTTCCACTGGTGGCCTAGCAGAAGACCTGTGATTGGTGACAGGAACTGTGCCAAGGCTGGTGCAAATACCATCCTTCATCGGCATGAGTGGATTGCTAAGACTGGTGAAGTCCACCCTTGTCACAATCCCCTTCTGACTACATAAGCAGGCTGCTCAGTTCACTTTGTGAGCAGTTGAGACACTCTCCCGTGCTGCCCCCTGCCCCTTGTTGCAAAGTTAGGTCTCAATAAAGACTTCTTTTCAGTGGTGTTGACTACTTCTGATTAGTAGAGCAAATGAACAGGTAACAGGAGGAAGTAAAAGGACATAGCAACGGCGGCAGGGGGTGGGGGAAAGAAGGGGAGTGGAGGTGGCTGGGGTCAATCCTGGAAGTAGAGCAGCAGCAGAGCAGCCCCCGGCAGGAGTCAGCTTTGGCTGATCACAGATGATCCAGGCAGCAGTGGCAAAAGAAGCAGCAGAACCCCTGGGGGCAGAGGCCAAGGCTGTGGGGCAGTTGACAGAACCCAACGTGGGAAACTGACATCCTTGGGCAGTGGAGACAGATGTGGCTAAAGTGGAACTGACAGAAGCTGATCTGGATCAGCAGGTGCAGAGGCCCCTCCTAACCCAGGTCTCTGCCTGGAACAAAAGAACTGTAACACTTTGGTTTTCAGGTCTGACTCCCCAGCCCGGAAAGCCACAGCCCTAGCTGTCAAAGGTCTAAGACTGAAGCCATGAGGCACAGCTGCCGCCTAAGCTATCAGAGGTGGAGGCTAAATCTCTGAGGCCTGGAACCCTGAGTGACTGCCTTAGCTGTCCAATGCCTCAGGCTGATGCCCAAGGTTCGCTGCTGCCCTTTCTGTCAAAAGCCCAGGGCTGACCCACAGTGCCCAATGTCATCCACTGTCATTGCCTACAAACACTAACCATGGACCCAAAATAACTGGAGGAGCATCTCCTAGCCTACACATGATTTCTATCTAGGTAGAGCAGTAGAACCCCCCAGCCAGCTGGTTTGGGACAGCTAGACCAAACTGGAGAAGGCCTTATACCCCTAACTTTATCAAACTTGAGTTATGACGTACATAATAAAACAAACAGCCAGATTAAATCACCATATAATGGAGTATCAGCTATACAAAAATGATATAAAGTATGTTTAAAATATATAGACAAAAAATGAAATAAAAACAGGAGCATACTTGAAAAATAACCTATCTGAACTATAAATACTGAATGGAATAAAATTAAAAATTCAATGGACAGACTGAACAGTAAAATTCAGCCTAGCCAGAGCTACAAAAATGGAAAGGCAGTAAATATGTGAAAAAATATCTCCCAATGCAAAACATAAACAGGAAGAAAAATGTAAGACAATACAAGAGAGATGAAGAAATCATAAGAAATCCAAAGTACAGTGAAATTCCAGAAAGGCAATAGTGAAAATATAATTTTCAAAAGGATTCTGGTTAACAATGTCTTCATAAATGGGAGGCAGAATAAATTCTGAAAGAAGAAAAGTGACTGAAGAGAGGACTGAGATGTAAGAAGGAAAGAAAAGCAAAGAAATGGATAAAATTGTAGATTAACATAGTCACTGGCCTTCTGAAACAAACTTAAGCAGAAAAAAAAAGAAT